ATCAGGCTGATGAAAAGCAACAGTATCAATCATTCTGAGATATGTTTTTGGCCATTATGAATCTAAGTCCGATATTCACTATTTTTTTTACCTCTGTTTTGGAGAGAAACAGAGTATGTAGCCTTTTAGCTGCCAAATGCTTCACTTTGTTCACCAGTTACTCTCTTGCTTTGTCCATCTGATGTTTTATGCTGAACAGCTGGCACACAGTTGTTTTTTTTAACAATTCATTTTCCTGAAAACAGCTGCCTGCTGCGGACGAAAAACAACAGTACATGAGCGATGAGGGTTAGTCAAAACAGTAAAGCACTCTTATTTCTTATCAAGTAATGAGCTGAAAAATACTGAAAGATGCTGTTGGAGCTAAGAAAAACTTCAACATCATGTCATAATTGTTTGGGTTCATTGTTATGAGCAACTTCTTTCAAATACAAGTAGTCATGCAATCCATTATTAATATATAATATTGGTTATAGGCACTTTAAGCAGTTCAACATTGATTCTGTATGTAGCTAAGAGACCACAAAAACAGTCAGGACACAGATAAACTGTAAACTGTATACGTACACCTGTGTCATTATAGATGGATTCATTTGTTGAATAACACATTAGCAGTAACTTGTGTAGCTTTAAGAAGTGGCTAGTTAAAGCAGTTTAACAAATTTACCAACTTACCAAAATTACAGGACATATAGACTGTGTTTCCATACACTTAAGTAACCAGGTTACAGCAGAAATCAGATAGCACATTTACATGCACAGCAGTAATCAGGTTACTCAAAGCCCCCAGTATACATGTGCTCCTAGGTAATCTGATTCCCTCACCCACTAGCCCTCTGACAGTGGAACAGACATGTTTGGGTGAGCCCACAATTGGAAAGCCTGACATCATTATGCAACTGCATCCTTCCATAAAAAAAGATGGACCTGGTCAGTCAATTTTAAAATAAAGTGCAAACAATTCCAGTGTACTAAAAGTTCTGCCGAATGAGTAATGCCACTATCACTGCAACTCAGATGTTTGAGAAACATCAGAAGGACAACTCAAAAGGTTGCATGAATGCTCTGAATAGTCAGATTATTCCCACAGATACGTCGACTGTAACGAGAAGCGTCAGATCCTTACACAGCCAACAGAAGGTATTTGGGGAAAAACAGGCAAGCTTATCTAATCAAACTTTGCCTTTGGTCTATTTAGCAATGCTTCACATGCAAAACATGACATTAGCTGCCCCATAATGGCAAACAGAATATGAAACACATTCACTCAACAAGCAGCTGATTCGAGTCTCCAGTGGCATTTGGCAGTTTATGCCAGTGACAGCTTCTTGTTTTTTTCCAGTCACATGTGCACAAGCGACCTTGGAGCTTGTCTTTTGCACATGTGCTCTTATAGAAACCTGATTAAAAACCTAGTTACACGTATACATGGCAGAGAAATCGATGTTCTCCAGGACAAATCTACCTGGAGAAATCAGATTTCCCTAATCCCCTACCCAGGTTATGGAAACAGGTTTCCCGTTTACATGACAGTTAAGAAATCAGCTTACTTGAGAAAGCCGAGTGTAACCCGGTTACTTCAGTTCATGTAAACACAGTCATTGATAGGACCAAACTTTCCTGTAAAGTCACTACATGATGTGACTTCAGTTCATGTAAACACAGTCATTGGACCAAACTCTCGTTTTAATGCGATTAGAGCATATTTTCAATTGTTTTCAGGTTAGGTTTTAGAAAGTGGAGCAGTTGTAGTGGAAACTGGTTCATTTATTTCAGTGTACCAGGGCTGGGTAGGAGCGAGATTTGGGAACCACAGTTTATTTTTGGGTACTGACATTAGAGGGCGCCGGTGCCAGATTTTTCTAAACTGTACACACAGTAGCTTAAAACTATGAAGCTCTTATCTGAAAAAATTTAAGACAAGCAGGTAAAAAGAACAAATCAAACAAAACAAAAACTGAACTGCACACAAATTGGTCAAACCAGTCCTGACTCTGAGATCCAGTTAGCATTAACACTCCTTACACTGAACCTGTTAGTACTTTAAGACCAATGTCTGTAAAAACAAGTGTGTTGTGAGGACATTTTTCAATGAGAACAGGAGCTACTTGCTTTAAATAGTTCATGATCCAGTAGGATCTTGCATCAGCGCAGCTCAGGGAATTAATGTCACTGTCCACGCTGTTCCACCTTAACCGTCACTCCGGTGTTACCACACACAATTTCCTGTGCAGACCTAATTCTGTCAAGGTAAACTAAACACTGTCCATCCACTCAGGTAATTATTGTGACCTTTCATAAAGATTCTGGTCTAAAACAATAATATTTTGTACTTTATGAAGTCTTATTTTTTCACTTATTGGACTGAAATACTGCTTAGATCAGATGCATGTATAATTTTCAACTGTAATATATGAGACACAATATAGGACAGAGAATAAAGGAGTGGGTCACTCCCACTCAATTTCTTTTATTAATTTAAAGTGTTTTAATGTAAAGCCCCCTGAGGCAAATTTGTGATTTGTGATGTTGGGTTACATACATATATAAAATCTGATCTGACTTGAAAGTACCTGATGGAATAGATGGTGTACATGCAAAAATAAAATCTAATGTATTTATTGCAACATATGACCAAGTAGGCCCTCTTTTGGAAGACATAAACTTTATCAGAAGTACAGGATTGTGATTCTGTCAAATTATATGTGCAGTTGCACACTGCATTTTATTGCATACGTACCTAATCCAGAACACAAACATTACATATGCCTCTCCTGGTTCATAAAACAGATGACGTGGATTCTGTCAAACTGCTGGACGTTGGTGGTCTGCAGTGAACACATGACAGACAAAAAATATGTGGATCATGTCTAAAAACAGAAGACATAATATATGCAAAACAGTCAGTGAACATTTTGACATTTGACTTTGCAATGATGGAAGTCCAAGCCCTGTAGTACTATTAAATTTTTTATCTTAATTAATAATTTCAGCCACTTTTTCTAAAAATGGGAATGAGGTAAAACAGACTAAGCCATGACCTGAATGCTTCAGTGTGGCACATTAGATACAGTATATCTTTAAAAGCACAAGAGTTTCAGTCTGTATTGGTTTGCCTTGCTCTAAGGCTTGTATTATGCCGCCCTCTGGTGACTGTGACTTTTAAAATTATATGTTTAAAAAACAAAATTAAACATTTACCTGATATTTTTCACTCATTACCACAATACTACGTTGTCAAAGTATTTACTGCAAGTTGAAAACATCTATTGAATTTATTGATAGGTTTGCATCTTGAGCTTTAATCACCAGAATGCATAGCATATGCATGCATATATATGCATATCTAGAATATGCTGACATGCAAAAAACCCCACTCATAGCCACATGCTTCCTGAGAGACTCATTCAAACTCAAACAATTATTTATCAAATTTAGCATCTAAAAAGACAAAAATGTGGAATATACACAATCATACATGAATAGTAAAACTAATATACATATACTGTATATACTGTATATTCAAGGGTTCGAGGATTTTATTGTCAATTCACTATATGTGCAGGACATACAGAAAATCAAAATACCGTTTCTCTCACACCTATTGGGTGCCATAACATTTAGGAACTAAAATAGAGTAAAGTAGAATAAAAATAGAATAGAATAGAATAAGAATTGGATTGACGTAATTAGGAGAAATCTAAACAGTACAGCTAATAAGCTGTGACTCAAAACTGTGTACAGTCAGTGACAGTAGTGCAAAACAAATGTATGTCACATCTTTGGTGATGCCGCTTGCAAACTTGAAAATGTGTAATTAAAAACCTTCAAATAGTAACTAAGACAATGATATTGTGTGCCATTTTAAATTACCTATTGCTGTATTTCTATACAAATTTGATTTTGTCCTTTATTTATGATTAAATCATTCAAAACAAAAAACACAAATGGTCCAATGCCCCTACTTGGCTCATGTCTTGTGTAAATTGTCTTACACTCTGGTGCACATAATCGATTCAGAACAGTACTATAGATTACCGGACTCTAAAGACTTGAGACCTGCCAACAAGTAGTACTACTATCAGATAATGCTGTAAAACAAACAACTGTTCCATTTAAAGCCCACACTTAAACGTCCTTTTTTAAAATTCTATTCATTATTAGATAGTTTTCTTTGTAGTAAATAAATTTAATTTGGAAAATAAAGCTGCAAAATAAAAAAGTCACAACCATTACTCATTTCTGTTATGGTGATTACTTTCCCATGTTTTCTACATTTTATCATTTTGGAGTATTTTCATTAAGGTGTAAACATGCAAAACATACAGAATCTGTCAGTAGAAATCTCTTTTGGATTTGTTTGTTGCAAAACTCTTTAAATTATTGCATCTATTTCATTTACTTGTCATGTCTGTAACTGTCTTGAGCTTTAAAACAACAAAATATGCAGGAGTATTTCTGTGTATCCCGGTAATATTGTCAAATGCAATGATTTAACCAACTGTTGACATAATTTTACATTTCACTATACAACTGAACAAATGCATGGTGGAAACACTGTAAATCAAATGTGGTAGCATTATACAATGCTAACTACTATTGCTATATACAGCTGCAAATATCCAGCATCTCTGCGAATGTAATACATTTCAATTTGTGCATGTGTAGCAAAAATAACTGCAGTATATGCACAGAGCAATATGTTATTTGATCAATTCTTACCTGTGCTCCCAGCAGTGGATACAGTTTTACATTGTTCAGGCAGCCGTGCTCCTCGCTGTGTTTTGTCTGTCCCCTGCAGTCTCTCGTTTCCTCTTTTCAGTGTGTAAAGGCCTGAGCTGAAATCTAGTGCAGGCACAGAGCAACCTTATAAGTACTACCTGCAGAGCTGCAACACTGCCAGCCTGGGACCCTGGACCAATGGGGCGAAAACATGTGCAAAAGACCATCTGCAATGGAAAAACAAATCCTGTAAACGATTTTGTGGATTTTACTGCATGGGGAGATAGTGTCCAGCTGCCTTGAGTCTTAGTGACAGATGCTTTCTCTCCCTCTCACTTGGCTAACATGCACATCCCGTGCCACTCTAAACCTGGATGCCCCGTCACCCTCCATCCATGAAACACTTTCTTTAACTTTCAGTAGAAAGCAAATAATGATTTTTAACAGTTAAATAAAACGTTATGCTTGTTTTACATTTAGCAAACTATAGAATGGGTCTTTAAAGTTCATATAGCTATAAGGAAGCTACAGACTTCAGGTTATGTGAATATTCTTGCAACATAAATGAGGGACTATCTATCACAGCAGATTAAAGTATACGTATCTCAGAAGTGCAAATAAATACCAACACCACTTAATGACTTCTACTGATGCGGATGTGTGAAAGCACAGTGAAAGAGTTTGTGATTACATGCTCAGGCAGAAAAAAAGTGATGAGCAGTGAAGTTCTATCTTATTTACAGCTCCCAGCTCTAATGTTCACTTGAACCGAATGGCTTGGCTTAAAGCTACTGACTTACCTTCTACATTACTTACCATGTCTCTAATCCATCTAGTACTTTAAGCCCTCTATGGGCTTTTACATAGACATCTGTAACTTTTAATTCTCCCCTAACCACTTCCTCTCCATCCTTCATTGTAAAATGTATTTTTTTCAAAGTTAAAAACAAACTTTTCATTAAACATAGCAACATTATGAACTACACTGTATGCATGAGTATTTTTACTTTAAAATACAGTTTGATTATTATTTGTCAGTCAAATTACATGAATATTCATAATAAGTATTACCAGTGCCTAATACTTTAGAATTGACCAGCTCTTATCTATAATTTTGATTACACGGTACAGAGATGATGAGTTGTTAGTGTAATAATAATTGTAAATTGCATTAAGGTAATTCCAAAAAGAATTATTCAAATACATGTCTTTCACAATAAGTAAGACCAGAAAGACCATCTATATTTGGACTCACTACATCTGCGGTTTCACCTTTGTAATCCCTCCTCACTGATAATCTCGAGTGGACCCTGTGTTGGATTCTCTCTGCAGTCAGATGAAGCATATGGCTCCAGCATCTGTGGTGCCGATTTACATCCAAGAATTCCCTGTTTGGCTGCTGCAGCAGCAGCTATACTGGGACTAAAGCCCATGACTCTCATTGACAAAATCTGATTTAACCACTGGCCGTATGTTCTCAATGAACTCCAGCCTCAGTTCAGGTCACCAACTGTTCAGACTTCACACTTAAACTGCCTGCTATTAACAGAAACAACTGTTACCTGTGACAAAATCATAACCCTTTCATTCAAACAGCACTGCAACTGAATATTGACTACTGAAACCAGTCTTTCAGTTTGGTAACTCAGCTTGAGTTAGCTTCTCCTCTGGTACTACTGTTCAATAAATATACCAGAGTGAAAAGCAATATATAAATACATTTTTTAAAGGGAATTTTAACTTGCATTTTTTCTAACATTTAGCATTGTTATATCGGTTTACTTGATTTTATTTCAATAATGTGTTTTCCTACACAGTATCTAACAGTAACAGCTGTTAGAAAATACATGAAAATACATACATGTATATTTCTACTTTAGTGGCAACAAATGGGTTTTATTGAGAAAGTTCTGAGAAATACATCAGTGCTTTGTATCACAAAAATGTCTCCATGAAAACAGTTGACAGGAAAGACTCTTTTTAAGAATATTTTTAAAACAAGGAGCACAAATGTGAATACAATATTTGGGTGAGGACTGATGTTTTAGAGGCGAATATCATACACAGAGAAGCGTTTTGGAAATTAGGGACAAAATAATTTACATTTTTAAATTTCCACATTTGAAGAAGGCTACTCTGTATCAGTGACTTCAGTCCAGCACAAGGTAAAGCCATCTGATAGTGAACAAAATGAAAATAGCAGTCTGTAACATTGGGACTTCACAAACTTATTAAGCAGACCTGTTCATAACACCTTCACATTTTACTGACTGTTTCCTGATTACATCCATATAATGTGCATAAGTGTGTTCCATGTACTGTATGTTCCTTAGCTTTTGCTAACTTCATAAAACACAAACAAAAAGCTCTCAACCTTAGCATGGTCCTGGTTCTGAGGCTAAACTCCAGTCCAGATCTTCTGGTGGATTCTCCTGGCAAGTCGCAGCGAGCTGCAGCATCCCCACATTACCCAGCCACACGCTGCCCGAGAGGTTGCTATTAAGTTACACTATTAAAGTAAACAAAAACATTTATAGCTAGATTACCCCAATTACAAGAAAGGAACGTACTTCATATATACAGTCATGTCCATACACGTATTTTATAAAGCTGTGCATGTTACAATGTCTTTATATAATTAAATGCGTCGCTATAAATGTATTTGTATTTATTTACAAAGAAAAGGGGCGATAAATTGAAAATCTACCTGTTTGGGTGGATAAAATAGTGGCTTGTAACTTTGAGGGGAAAACGCATGCAGCATGGTCCTTTTTTAAGAAAAACAAAAAGCGAACTTCCTGTTTCGGGGTGGTCCACAGACTGCAGAGAGAGAGAGGAGGAGAAGGGGGTGCGCATTCCCGCATTGGCTGTGCAGCCAACTCCTGGGCGCTTTGCGGGACTCCATAGCCGGACATGGGGTTCAGTTTTGTCACCGTTTTCGTAAAGTGACTCAGATGAAAAATCTGTGGAAAGGCACTTCTGAAAGAGGATAAATCTCGGTTTATGTATAGAACTCAGTCATCTCCATCCGAGCGCGTCTGCCAGAAGGTTGAGAGAAAGAGAGAGAAGGGAGCTTTACTGGAAACCCAGACTTTCTCAGTCCTTGGACCCACTTAGCTCTTCCAAGGACTCAGGAAATCAAGTCACAGAGTTTCATGCTGAATACCCCCGCATTAGCCTGAGGTAAGCAGTACTGATGAGTCATATTTGCTTCTGAACTCACACTGATGGGTTACAAATGCATTTAAGTCTGGAATGTTGGGTTTTATTATTCGGTTGTATGTATCACTTTCGTTGGCTACTTTCTGAAGTTGAAAAAAAACTTGAAAAGTGGTTTAAAAGTTAGTATAATAACTTATTGCCAACAGTTCTTCAAGTTATAGTGCGTGACTTTTACGCATTGGAAGTATTGACTTAAATTAATTAGGCTACTTAAAATTTTCTGTATAGTCTACTCCAGTTTTCACTGAGTTGCATAATATCTTTACTAACTGACCGAAATATGTAATGCTTCAGTCACTACGCCAGTTTTTGTGGATTCACTTATTTTGCTTCTCGTAAAGTAGCTTGCAGTAATTTTTTCCATGTTCTTATCAAACATTAGATCTGCGAAAATGTAAGTTCTTTCGCCTTTATGCGTCCATGTGTTTGGGAATCCCTTCCTTTCGATCTTTGACTACTAGCACAGTTTAAAATCATGTGGCATAGAGGGGGTCACAGGGCAACCTCCGAACAGCTGTTTCTTGTAACCTGAAATACTTGACGTGCCAATATCTTTTCCAAATGTGAGTTTGTTAGGACACCCACAAAACAACAGCATCAGTGAACACTGTGTGAGGCTTCCAGAGATAGCAAGATTCTAGAAATGCCTCATAAACTGACAGAAAAAATGTTTGAGAAACCCTTTGGGCTTCTTGAAACATGCTGGCTGATATTGTGTTTTAGATAAAATAATACTCCCCCCCCCCTTCTTTTAAGCATTAAAGCTGTCCATAATCAGTGTCTAATCTGAGATAGGTTATTGAATCTAATCTAATTATCTGTGTAAAATGTGACTGTAGCTGTTAATGTGGGAAGAGAAGGCTACTCGTCTTCATGCAGTCTCCGTGTATTGAAGAGCATCAACACTGGACTCAATAGACGAACCAAACACTTATTTATTCCAAAGTGACAGTGAGAAGTGTTAAGCACACATACTCACAGCCTTCCTAAATAGTATTTACCCAGACACACTCACCCGCACAGAGAAAGTATTTGTAAATCCCAAATGGTCTTTAGAATCTCCAACAACATGAGAGGAGACATCAGTTTAAATTAATTGTTAGACAATTTTAAAGTCAAATTGTGCATCAAATTATTGATATTTTTTTTAATGCTTACTCTGGACAAGCAGCAATTATTGTGAGATGTCTTGATATTCTGTGAAAATAGTTGAAATTGTTTTTATTATAAGCTTGTAACTTTATCTTTTCTTGTGTTGGCAACTATCTTCTGTGAACTGGAAAACTAATGTGCAAGCACCTCAGACATTTTTTTGTGATTAAAGAAAAGCAAAAATATATATAATCAAGTAAAATTGCATCTTTTTGAATGTAATCCATTAAAGAGAGGCACTCAGGCCCTTCTCAAGGTTGAGAAGGGGGAGAATTTTGAGGGAGAACAGTGCACTTGTCCTTTGGCCACATGTGAAAAGCTCTGCAGGGGAGCTTCCTCACCCTCACTGGTCTTTATCAAGTGTGTTAAGGCCAAAAGGCTCCTTAATGGGAATGCTCTTAAACAAATAGACCATACAGGAAGCAACTGTCCTCCAATTCCCAAGAGAGGGCTGATCTGGTTTACCACAGCCATATCACAGCAGTGATAACACTGAATACAGTTCAGTTTAGTGCTATGGATTTGTTCTTCTTTGAGGCCAGTAAAAACAATGAAAGGTGGAATTGTGTGTTTAAGTTTGCATCCCTAATGTAATTTAAGCAAAATGTAAAGCAGAGGGAATCGGAGTGGTGACTGTGCTTTGTTAAGAGGAGAATCTGGAAAATAAAACATCCCAAAATTGACTCTTCATAGCTTCTACTGGCGCTATCGTCCACTGGTCATGTGACTCACGCACATACCCAGAGGCAGGCAGCAACAAGTGGTGTGTTTTTGTACAGATTCCATTTTGGTCCGCTCAGCAAGAAACATGTGTCACGTGATGCCTGCAGTCCCCCCAACACTCCTCCTCTTCCCACCTTCCAGAAAGAGGGAGGTTAGGGGTAGGGAGAGAGGGGGAGCAAGACCACCCTCACTGGGATCACAGCCCCTCAATCAGACCCTTTCACACCCTGTGAACCTGAAACAATCAGGTTTTAATAGCAGCTGTCTGTCTGCGCTGGCCCAGGCTAAAACCATGTAGGTTCACAGTGCAGGGCCGAGCGGAGAGAAGAGGCCAGGGGATGCTCCATAGGACACATAAGCAAAGATTCACACACACACACACACACTCACTCACACATACAGACACACTTTTTTTATCCGCTGTTACTCTTCTCTTTCTCTCTTCATCTTCTAGTTTTCCTCCTGTGCTTCAAGGCTCATGGAAAGATGTCTGCTCCCTTAGCTCACTGATGTCAGGTTTTGGTATTTGAAGGTTATTTTGGTTCATCAGATTGAGTTTGGGTTGTTTTCAAACTGCTTGCAAGGCTTAAGTCACTTTGTGTGTGTGCTGTCATTCATGGACATGGACATTGTTAGTGGAGACCAGAGTGAACTGAATTTGGTTGTGGTTGTTGTTTTGGTTATTAATTAACCAAACCTGAAATATCACAACATTTGTCAGGTATGGTAGCCAATAGTCTTTACTGAAATATAACACTGAAAACATCAAATGATGCTGAAATGAGACAGAGGAATGGACGTGGAGGGTGTCTCTGTAGTCTCTGACACCCAGAGGGCAAAGGCATTACTCTTTAAAAAGCTTGAATTGTATTAGCCAGAGGGCACACATAATAGAAAGGGGAAATGTTGCAGTCATGGGAAAATCATTGTCCGTGGTTACTTGGAGTTTTCCCACCCATAAGGCGTATCTGACAAATTGCTGCAATTGAGATTTTAAAGAATTGTCTGCAGAGACAATCAGTTCAAAGCAACAGAAAAACGAGATAAGGGGTGGCTGTATTTATACTGTTATTTTAATAGATGGATGATGGGTATTTTAAGCCCCAGTGTCTCCAAAGTGCTACACACACATTTGTGACTTAATATTGCCTACTAATGTTTGTTTATTCTGGAAAAGCAGGTTTTCATTTTCTGCTTTACACTATGTTGTGATCAGTTGCTAGTTTTAGAAGTTCAAGTATTTCATTAAGTTGTAATTTTATTGTGCCAAGATGCACATGTGCATCAGGAATGTGTAACATTTATTATGTCAGGTGCAGTTCACAGATTTTTCTGTCTTGATGTGAAAAATGAAACAACAGGAAAAAATCAGGACAAACACATATTAGAGCCCTATTTCCAGAGACATTATTTTGGATGATTCTGCAAAACACTCTGGACAGTGTCCACTGACAATCCATGGGAAGTATGTTATAGTTTGGTAAAGTTCAATAGGAGCCACTCTTATCACCACTCCAAACTGACAACCCACAAAGCTGCCATGGTCATGGCTGTGCATTGCTGGTACCTAGTAGCAGTAGATTTTGGTAGTTTTAACATACTTTGGATAATTTTTGCAAATTTTATTTTAATTGGAATAAAAACCAAGCACCAAGGTTTCAACCCCAGCAGAGATAGCCTCCATCTAACTCAGCACATTAGCTGTTTAACAGTTTGCCCTGAAATGTTGTTAGCTCAGAAAGAAAATTTTAAAAACTGGAGCCCTCTTATTCATTTTGAATATGGCTGATACACTGGCTCAGTGGAAATGTCAGTGCAGGGGGCTTCAGCAAAAAACTAAACCAAACAAATCGAGAAAGCAAAGCTGAACCTAGCTCAGATTTTGCTGCAGTGCAATGCAATGTTATCCAGCAAGGCACCACATAAAGGTCACCCTACTTCCTGAGTTGGAACTGAATGTTAGCAGTGGATGTAAATTGTATCTAGCTGCATGTCCATATCCTGATCTTGAAAAGAATCTGACTCTAGGGTGGCTGTGGTTCTTGTGTGGAACTGTTCCAGCTTAGACATTGCCTAACTCACTACTATAATGCCTTACCTCTACATGACAAAGGCCAAGTTACATATGTTGCAGCAGGCAGCATGAAAAGAAATGCTGGTTGTATTTTACAGTAAATGCAGTGTTTGTGCGTACGCCTGTGCCTGAGGGACTATGTGTATGTGTGCGATACAGT